CTGCAAAGGGGTTCATCAGAAGCATCAGTCGTGGGATTTGGGGCACCCATGGTGCCCTCCAGCTGGAGCCACTCTGCCCAAGTCCAGAGCACGGCCCTGCCCGTGGCTGGGGTGAACAGGGGGAGATTTAAGGTCCCTCCCAGCCCGAACCACTCCGTGACCCTACTGCTCCTGTCCCCAGCTCAGCCTTTGCCGTGTCCCCTCACTCCCCCAGGGCAGGAGAGGGGACGGCTGCAGCTGTGTCTGTGTCCCTCTCTGGGTCTGTGCTCCCAGGAGCTGCAGGACAGCAGCAATTGCCAGGATTTACTGAATTTACTGAATTGCCACTCACACTGGCCCCCGAGGGCACAGCTCGCTCCCACAGGTCTGAGCCTTTGGCAAATCCAGAGCTTTCTGTTTCCCTTCCTTTCCAAGCCCACTCACCATTCCAGCTGCTGCTGTTGCTGTAACCCTAGCTGCTCCCAGGGCCAGGCATTGCAGCAGATACTTATCAGGAAAGCACACAGCAGCTATAATTCTTATTGGGAATGCTGTTATTGCAGCTACAGCTGCGAGGAAAACCAGGACACGTGCCCAAGCCCAGAGCTGCCAGCCCAGGGCCCCCAGCCCAGCCCACAGAGCCCTGCTGGGCTCTGAGGAATACAAATCACAGCACAGCAGAGACGCTTCAAGGGCTCAGGCCAGGAATGCAGAACGGTGCCTGTGAAAAACGCCCATCACTTGTTTGTAAAATTTTAAAAGTGTAAGAGTAATAAAATGGTTATAAAAATAGCAATATAATTAGAGTAATAAAAATTTGGACAATTAGGATTACGACAATATGAGACAATAAAAACAAAGAGTTATGGACAGTCCAGGTACCTTTTCTGGGCAAAATAAGCCTGAAAAAGGACCCACATTAACAGAGGATTAACCCTTAAAAGCAAGAGCCTGTTGCATATTCATACATCTCATACATGATGCATAAATTCCATTCAAACACAGGATTCTGTCTGGTCACTGTCACCTTCTTCCTCTGAATCCTGACGGGGCCTCATGGCTGAGCTAGGCAGGAAGAAGTTGGTTTCTTCTGGTAATGGGGCAATAAATTATCTTTCTCTGAAAGATTTAGGTGTCCTGTGGCTGCTCAGTGTGAGTACCTCATTCCTTTCTTTAAAAAAAATCCCACATACATAGTTTCTATTTTAACATTATGTTATAACCTAAAACTCTATTTAACACACTACTAACAAAATTAATCCAGCACAAGTTTCTAACATAACACATATAATATTCATTTTAATAGGCATTTTTCACAGTGTCTTTTGCAAGGAAAAAATTAAAAGCAAGCTATAAATGCCCCTCAAGCTGACACTAAGGAGTTCCTGACTTGCCCACTGCTCTTTTTAGGGGCTGGAGTGGGAGAAGTTAAAACTTTTCCAGCCCCCAGCATTCATGGAAGTCACACTCAATGTGTCTGTGCAAACAGGGAACGGAATTGTTTAGCTGAGGCTGAACTCATCAGCATGCCATGAGACATGGAACTGGTGTGTTTTCACCTGCCCCACGTCTCAGACAAAGCTCCAGACAGCTGCGCCTCCGCTCCTCACTGCAGCAGCTCAATAATTAGCTCGGTAAGTTAAATTAGCAGACAGCTTTCCAGGTGCTCTAATGGCCTTCAACACGAAAATACAGATTTTAGTATTTGAATCTGAGCATGCAAACTCGGATCTGCAGAGCATACTCATCCTCTGCAACACCCCCCAAAAATAATTAGATGATTTATCCATCCTGAGCATCACCCACTGCTCTGGTCCAGGTAAAAATGGGCAAGAACTGGGACAAGTCCCACCCTGCAGCCACAGGGCTGCCCAGGGCCTCCCAGCCCGGCTGCAGAGAGCTGGGGCAGCATCCCAGCCCCGCTGAGCACTGAGCACTGGGCACCCTCACAGAGGAGACTCCATGGCTTGCAGGGCTGTTCCAGCCCCGGCGGCTCTGGGATTCGGGTCACTGCAAAAGCCTCACGCTCCCCTCTCCACTGCTTGATGAGAGTCAGGTTTTGACAAGAGCTCGACAAGAGCCAGGCTTTCCCATGGCAGAGCTTTGTGGAGAGAGGGCTGAGGAGGAAGAGGAGGATAATGATGATGATGATGATGATGCCCTGTCTGCAAAGCAGCCCTCAGCTGACCTGGGCAGAGAGAGGTGCAGGTGATGCCTTGTGAGGCTGAGCCAGAGTAGGGGCTGGGCAGAGCTACAGAATAAAGCAGGGATTTACTCAAAGGATCTCCTCCATGGATCCCCCTTGGGCAGCACCAGAGCCCAGCCAGGGCTGCCCCCAGGATGAACCCAAATGGCCCCAAAATGCACGAGCGCTGCCGGGGTCTCTCCCTGGGCTCAGCTCTGCTCCATGTGCACATTGCAGTTCAGTGTCCAGTTCCAGCTGCAGCCCCTGCAGTCCCATCCTGCTTGTTTTTCTCTCTGCAGCCCACGGGGTTTGTGCTCCTGGGCTGGCATTGGGATCATTTGTCCTTGGTGCCCAGCTGGAGCAGGAATTGTTTTGTCTCCCTGCTCTGTGCAGAGAGCTCCCCATCCCATAATGTGAACCCAGACCCCACACTAAAGCAGCACAGAATGTGAAAAATAGAAAACCTAAAACTGAGGCATCAGAGGGAGATGCCATAAAAACACTGCCAGCAAGCTCAAAGAGCAGAAGGGTCTGGTCCCAGAGGTCGCTGTGTGCAGGCAGTGAGACTCCTGCACTTCACCCCAAGTCAGGTAAGACTGAGGGGTGGGAAAGAGACACCCAGCAGCAGCTCAGAAATGTGATTGCTGCACGTGTCTGGGTCTCTGCTGCAAGAATTTGGGCTAGAAGGGCACTGACAGAGGGGAGGAGGCAAGGGGGGTGGAACAAAGGAAAAAATGAGGCAAATCAGCTCTGACAAGTCCCTCTGGGGCTTCCAACCTTCCTCCGAAGTCACCAAGGGATCAGAAATCCTTTAACATCCCCGTGCTGTTTCTGGGGGCCGTTGCAGCGTTGCCATGACATCAGGTTGTGGCAGAGAGAGGAGAAAGCTGGATCCTGTTCCCAGCCTGCCCCTGCAGCAGGGCTCAGGGCAGGGCCCCTCCTGCAGCCTCACCCCTGCTCTGCCCATGTGCATTAAGGGCATCCCAGGGAGCTGCAAGGGTCCCTCTGTGCCACAGGCAAAGAGATTTTCTGTCCAAATATCTCTGAGGCGTGGCACGGCATCAGAAACTGAAACAGGCCCTGCAGGAGCAGAGATTCTTTGGGCAAGAATTTCCACTCAGTCCTAGAGAAAACAATGTTTTTATTTACCTCCCAAAAGCCACGAAGCGTCTTTCAAGCATCAGAGCGAGCACAGTGCCAGCCCCACCCTTGCAGCAGTGCCAAACACAGCACACACATCCCAGGGCAGCTGATGTTGTGACTGCAACCCAGCCCCACCAGCTCGGGCTCCTGAAATGCTCCATGACGCTGCCACTCCTGACAGAATTCCCTTGAGAGGTGTAAAATCGTGTCTAGAAATAGGTGAAAAATAACCCCGGCAGGGGCAGCACAGAGCTGCTCAAAGAGTATTTTTGGCTTGTGCTAAGAAGTGAACTGGGGACTTCTCCTGCTCCAGCAATTTTGATAAGTGTGGGGATAAGGCCAAGACAAAAATAATTACATCTGATAGTCCCCTGGTTCACCTGCCCCTCACTAACATTTGAATAAGAATTCTCTAAAAGATGCTGGGAGCTGCAATCAGCACAGATTTGGTTCAGGTCTGATTGAGAAAAGATGGAAAACTCCTGAGTCCCTCTGAATGCAGCTCTGGAATGGGGGAAGCTCAGCCCAGCAGGATGATGGATTGTGTTCCCACAGCACCACAAACCTTTGATGAATGAGCTGCACATGGGAGAGAAAGGCAGGGAATGTCCACAACAACAGCAGGGAGTAATGGCTGAGCAGAATTCAGGAGAGGAGGATTGCTCTTGGGCAAAATGGGCAGGAAAAGGCAGTGGGAAAGTGTTAAATTATAGAAATGACCATTGTGGGAGATGGCATCTCCTCCAGGCTGGGGCTGGGCTGCCAGACCCAAGGCTGCTGTCACCAAGGCTCTGCTGTCACCAAGGCTCTGCTGGCACTGGAACCCCCTCACCACCACCAGCTTCTCCTTTGTGTCTCCCTGCTTTTCTGTGCAGATTCTCCCCCTCCCCAGTCCCTCTCCCCCTCAGACCCCTCCTGCAGCCCACAGGTTTCCTCCCCTGGCTTCTCCCTGAGGCAGAATTGCCCTCCTGAAGGGCTCCCACACCCTTCTGCACACTCCTCCTCCTCCTCCTCCTCAGCCCTGGTTGGGGCATGGCCCACTCCCTGCTCCCTGCCACAGCAGAACCCTGTCTTTCCACAGACAGCTCTGGGAAAACAGTACTTGTTTCATTCTTAAAAATAAAATAAAATAAAGCCAGAAAGAAAGAACCTCAAACTAGTTCCCCATTTTCGGAATGCTGAAGCATTTGGATTTGGCCTGAGACCCACCCTAAAAAACACTATTTTTTTTAGTAGACATAAATGAAGAGAATTGTCCTTTTTAAATTAAAAGTGTTGGAGGAGGAGGGAGTGTGCCACGCCCCGTGCTGGGCAAGGCAGGACCGTGCTCCTTGGTTCTGCCTGTCTTGCTGTGGGAGCTTGGATCTCCTGAAATGCTCTGCTGAGCTCCCCTCTGCTCTGAGTCCTCAGCCCAGGCTGCACCTTCCCCTGGGGCTGTTCCAGCAGGTAACACCAGGCTCCTCCAGGTGTTCTCTCCATCCCTGCCCCTCCCTTGTGCTGTGCTGGCACCAAAAATGGGACTTTTGGGGGAGAAAGTCACAGACACCACTGCAAAGACCTTCACACAAACCATCACCTCTCTGGGGTACTCCACAGGGATTGCTCCCCTCCAGCCCCAGAAAATGTCCCTGGACAGAGCAGCAGCCAGGTCTGGCTGTCCCCAGAGAGCCAGGGAAGGGCTGGGGCTGCACACTCAGCTCACCCTGAAGTTCTCGGGGTCCACGTGCAGCTTGTCGCAGTGCAGCTCCGACAGCTTGGAGTAGGTGCCCTTCAGGTTGTCCAGGTTCTTGATGGCCTCCCCGAAGGAGGTCAGCACCTTCTTGCCATGGGCACGCACCTTGGGGTTGCCGATGATGGCCGTGGGGCTGGACAGGTTCCCGAAGTCAGAGAAGAACCTCTGGGTCCAGGGGTAGACGATCAGCAGCCTGGGGAGAGACACGGGCGGGTGAAGCTGCCTGACTCAGTGGCTCCCTGCAGGGCAGGGCCCCTCTACATGGTTGTGTTTGAGGGTGCCAGGACGAGGAAGAGATGAGAAACTTGACTCCATGTTTCAGAAGGCTGATTTATTATATTATTATATATGTTATGTTAATGATATACTGAAACTAGAGTAAAAGAATTGAGAGGAAAGATCTATCAGAAGGCTAGAAAGGACAGGAGAGCAATGATAACAGAATCTCGTGACTCTCGGAGAGCCCAAGCCAGCTGACTGTGACTGCCCATTAATTAGAAACAGCCAACAAGCACCAATCACTGATGCACCTGTTGCCTTCCACAGCAGCAAATAATTATTGTTTACATTTCTTTCCTGAAGCTCCTCAGCTTCTCAGGAGAAAAATCCTGACAAAAGGATCTTTCAGCAAATACCACGACTGCATATGGTTGTGTTTGAGGGTGCCAGCACGAGGAAGAGATGAGAAACTTGACTCCGTGTTTCAGAAGGCTGATTTATTATATTATTATATATGTTATGTTAATGATATACTGAAACTAGAGTAAAAGAATTGAGAGGAAAGATCTATCAGAAGGCTAGAAAGGACAGGAGAGCAATGATAACAGAATCTCGTGACTCTCGGAGAGCCCAAGCCAGCTGACTGTGACTGCCCATTAATTAGAAACAGCCAACAAGCACCAATCACTGATGCACCTGTTGCCTTCCACAGCAGCAAATAATTATTGTTTACATTTCTTTCCTGAAGCTCCTCAGCTTCTCAGGAGAAAAATCCTGACAAAAGGATCTCTCAGCAAATACCATGACTGCACTTCTGGAGCTGCACCCACCTGGCCAGGGCCTCGCCGCCGCATTCCTCCACGTTGACCTTGGCCCAGACGCTGGTGATGAGCTGCTTCTCCTGGCTGCCCAGTGCACCATGGTGGCTGCAGGAGCTCACAGAGCTGTGCTGAGCCCGGAGCCTGGGCCGGGTTTTATGGCCTGGGCCAGCCCCGGGCAGGGGTCCCGGGGCAGCAGGAGGGGGTGGCCAGGGCATGGCACCCCAGAAGGGGCCTCTGGTTATCCTGAGCTCCAGAGCTCATCCCATCCCCTCTGTGGGGCAGCTCCTTCCCCTTCCAGCAGGGCTGTGCCGAGCAGGGGCTGCAGGAGCCCAGCAATGCCCGTCCCCATTGCCCTGCAGGGGCTCAGGGCTGGCTCCTGCCCCCGTGAGCTCCTGCCCCAGCTCTTTGCACACCCGGCTCTGCCTGGCATCAGTGACGTGGTGAATGTTCAAAGTGCAGCCCATGGCAGAGCCACGCAGAGGGGTTTGCCCCCAAAAAACCCTGCAGGTCCCTGCCCTGCCCAAGGCCTTGGTGTCCTTGCACCAGCAGGAGCTGTGCTGGAGCTGCTCACAGGATGCTCAGGCTCTGCAGCCAAATCTGCATTAACCCCATTGTCCTTCTCCTGTAACAGAACTTGACCTCTTGGATTTATTTGTGCCTTTTGGAGCAGGAGGAATTATAGCTGGACTTTGGAGTCCAACTTCTGAGCTGGACTTCAATTATCATGGTTGGTGCTTTCCAGTTGGAGCTGTTCTAAGACTGTGTCAGACTGGTTTGGGTTGGAAGGACCATGAAGCTCGCCCCTGCTGCCCGAGGCCCACCCAGACCTTGTCCCCTCAGCTGTGCCAGGGCCAGCCTGCTGCAGTGCTGTGGGCAGGAGCAGGGCCAGGCAGCAGCACCATTCCTGCCTGCAGCCGCATCCCCGAGCAGCCCTGAAACGGCCTTGGAGCGTGGGGTTGGCTGCCTCAGGTCCTGCTGTGGGCTCTAAAACCTGCACAGGCTCAGCTCAGGGATGTCCAGCGTGTGGGGGAGCCCCTTCTGACCCTGCCCAGTTCCCCCTGCCACGTTCAGCCGGGCCAGGCTGTCCTGCAGGAGAGGTCTGGATTCCCCTGGCACACCCTGGAGCTACCAGGGGTGCAGCTCCTCACCAGGAGCAGTGCCCCGGGGAGATTTCCTCTGTTGTTTTTGCACAGAGCCCCAGGAAACACCATTCTTGCCGAAATCAGCACAGGGGTTTGATGCCAAGTGCCAGGGCCAGTGCACTGTCTTCCTGTTGTTTTCCAGAGGGTTTGGACTGGGCTGAGGAGGAGCTGCTGATCCTGCAGCCTGGGGATGGGCGAGGGCATGACCAGGCTGCAGCAGAGCCCCAGGGCTGCCCAAGCTCCTCTCACACATCAGCACTTCCTCCAGGGACCATCTCCTGATAAGTGTCTTTTGCACTGGAAATATGGCAGAAAAAGCAATTAAAAGAAAGCAAATAGCAAGGGAGTCTCCAGCCTGACAATATCTTCCCCCCCCCCACTAGTTGTAGACTCTTTTTTTAGTCTTAATAATCTTCATTAAATTTGCTTACATTTGCCTTTTCTGCAGCAAATCCAGTCCCCACAGCTGAGGGCTGGACCTCCATGGCAAATGAAGTCGAGCTCAGCCTGGCACAGGCAGGAAGAGGGGATAGGTGTCCTTCCCACCCCCAGACACGTTGCTGGCAGGAGGAGATCTGCTCATTCACACAGTTCACTCCTTTCCCTGGAGCCCATGAACACTCACCTTCATGGGAAACTACTCATATCTCTCATGAAGCCAATGCAAGTCATGAAATATCTGGGGGTTTGGTGACTGTGCCTGCCCGCTCTCCCTGCAGGGAGAAAAACCCTCTGGGACTGGCTGTGAATCATCTTCTCTCCCTCTCAGTGTGCACCTTGCCAGCAGGAACAAAATGCCTCTTTTTTTGGGTGTCGTGACTGAGAAAGGGCATTTATGGGTCACAGAGGGCTTCTAACACCTTCCTGTGGGTCAGGGGCAGAGAGTGAGTGCCCAGAGATGTGGGTGAGGCAGAGACAGAGCACAGTGCAGCCTGGCTGCCAGAATAGCTTTGCCCAATGTTTTCCCTTAGAAGTGGCACATCCTTTCAGCCAAGCATCACTTTTGCCTCGTCATGCTCTGTTCAGATGTGCTTCCCATGCCAAGAACAAACCCTACCCAAGGAGTCCTGCTCTGCAGACACCCAAACCCACCCAAAACTCCCATCCAGGAAATTAAGTCTGCTCTTGGCAGAATTGGGCCCCCCCAACTGCAGAGTGGGTGGCGCAGGGTGGGAGGGATGTGAATAAACAAAGTCTGCTCAGGCCTTGATAGCAAAATGTTTATCTAAAACCTGCCCCCACCCAGCTGGCTGCTGGGCCTGTGTGACTCAGCTGATTTTGGGTAGGTTTTATGCCAGGGATGAGCCAGGGTAGATTAAAGTCTTCAATTTGTTTATCTTCCCCCTCCGAAAAATAGGAGTCCTCTCAATTTCCCTTGTCTAGGAGAGACATGCAGGTTTGACAGCAAAATTCTGAGTAGTTCTCCGTGCAAAGCCCCGGTGTGACCCCGGGGGTGGCAGGATTTACCAACCCCATATCCTGCACGCACAATTTCCAGAGGCCAATCCCACAGAAACCACCGAACCCCCCAGAAGAAAGGCAGGGTGTTTTCTGTGACCCCGCTGGAGCTGCCCGCTGTGCCCCGAGCCCTCCCAGCCCCAGGGACACACGGACGGACGCGGCGGAGTTGACAGGATGAGCTTTATTTGCTGTCAGAAGCGGGTGGCTGGGCGGCAGCGGGTGCGGGCGCTGCCGGGCGCTCCTGCGGCTCCTCAGTGGTACTTGCGGGCCAGGGCGTGGGCCACCACGCGCACCAGCTTCTGCCAGGCAGCCTGGCAGTCGGGAGTGAAGTCCTTGCCGAAGTGGGCGGCCAGGACGACGACCAGGATGTCACCCAGGAGCTGTGGGGAGGGAGCAGAGCGGCCTCAGGTGAGCAGTGCCCCCCGCGCAGCCCCCACAAGCACTCCCACTGCACCCAGGGAAGCCTCTGGAAACCTGCAGTCCTAAAAACCTCCCCCAGGTCCTTTCTGAGATGCACCTTAAACTTGGTCTCTGCTCTTGCTCTAAAGGTTCAGGTTCCGCTACCATATGGGAAGAGTAACCAAAAATTATCCAGAGGTTTTTGGAGTAAATTTTTCTTTGTCCCTTCTGGCTTTGTTTTGGAGTTTCTCTCAAGCAGAAGACCCAGCCGAGCTCCCAGGGCAGCAGGAGATGGTGCTTGGACCCACAGAGCACAAACAAGGAGCTCATGCTGACACAGCCATTTCTGCCAGCCCCAGCCCAGGGACAAATGGTGGGGGAAATTCCCCACTGAGACACTCTCAGCCAAAGTTTTCTCTCTGTAGATCCTCTTTTACTTCTGGCATCCAGCTGCCATCTCCTGCTCCTCACTCATCTCTCCGTCCTCCTCTGTGCCACACTTTGCTTTTGCTCCTTCTCTTCCCCCTTGGCTCAAACCTCTTCCTGCTCAACAACTGCTCTCACTTTGTTCTCCCCCTCCATTCCCTCACTGGAGCCACATCCTCTCCTCCCCTGCCGCCTGCTCACAGCCCTATCACCTCTCAGCCCCCTGCTCACAGCCCTGTCACCTCTCAGCCCCCTGCCCACAGCCCCTGTCACCTCTCAGCCCATGCCGTGCCACCCCACCAGGCTGCCCTGTGTCCCTGCCCTCCCTGTCCCTCTGCATCTCCCCCCACGGCAGCCCCAGCCCCTCTTCCTCCCGCACTGCCCTGGCTGGGGAAATCCCTCTCCTGGAGGATCAGGCTCTGGGCACAGCCCGCACTGGGGAGGGCAGGTCAGGGCAGGACTCACCCTGAAGTTCTCGGGGTCCACGTGCAGCTTGTCGCAGTGCAGCTCGGACAGCTGGGAAAAGGTGTTCTTGATGCTGTCCAGGTTCTTGACGGCTTCCCCGAAGGAGGTCAGCACCTTCTTGCCATGGGCTTGCACCTTGGGGTTGCCAAGGACGGCGGTGGGGCTGGACAGGTTCCCGAAGGAGGCGAAGAACCTCTGGGTCCAGGGGTAGACGATCAGCAGCCTGGGGAGAGACACAGACAGACAGAGTCACATCAGCATTCCTGTGGCTGGAGCGTTTCCCTCTGCAGCTGCAGGGCCCCTTGGAGCTGCACCTACCTGGCCAGGGCCTCGCCACCGCACTCGGCGACGTTGACCTTGCCCCAGAGGCCGGTGATGAGCTGCTTCTCCTCAGCTGTCCACTGCACCATGGTGTTGGCAGGAGGGCTGCGTGTCGCACGGAGGAACGCTGGGCTCTGGCTCCCGAAGGATCGCACGCTGGGGAGCCTCTGCCCGGCCCCGCTTTTATCCCCTGCACGGGGCCCCTCCTCTCCCCGCTGCACCCCTCCATTGGCTGCGCCCCGGGGGGGCCCCGCGGGCCTGGCACCCGGGGGAGGGACCCAGCATCAGGGTGGGGCCCGGGGCAAGGTGCCCAGATCCAGGCCGGGCTGGGCTGGCCGGCCGCCCTCCCCGTCCCTGATTTCCAGCCCTGCTGGAGGGCCATTATCTCCACGCAGAGCCCCAGCACGGCCCCGTGCACGTCCTGCAGCAGCTCCCCGGGGAAGGTGCCAGCCCTGGTGTCCCTGGGGTGTGCCAGCCCCTGAGGCAGGAGGTGCCAACCTGGGGCTCCTGGGTTCTCCCTCTGAATGCACCAGGTTCTCCTTCTCCCCTTCCTGCAGGACCTGTCGGGCTTTGGGCTCTCCCTTTGCTTTCCCATCAGCTCATTAGGAGTTTGATTAACTTCAGGGTGACACTGCTAAAACCACGGCAAGGCTTCACAGCCAAGAGGGAGCTCCTGTCTCAAGGAACCTCTTGGCAGAGGTCAGGCAGGGCTGGAAAGGAGATGTTATAAGCCAGGGCAAACCAGCTCCCTGCTGGCTCACAGGGCATGAGGAGAGCTGGGAACACTGGGATTACTGGGATACCATGGAATCCCCAAATCCCCGGGGTTGGCACAGCCCTGCCAGCCCAGGCAGTGCCAGCTGTGCCCCATGGCCACCTTGTCCAAGAGCACTCAGTGCCACCCCCAGGGGACAGCTGCAGGGATGGGCACGGCCAAGCTCCCTGGGCAGCCCCTGCCAAGGCCTGAGCACCCTTTCCAGGAAGAAAAAACATCTGCACAGATGTGCAGCCTGATAGTGCCTGACCCAGGGGTTTGGCAGCCGGAGGATCAGTGGTGTCCTGAGAACTGGGAGAGGCAGCTGGGTCTCTGCTCTTCTGCTCCTGTGCCCAGCTGAAGGTGGGAGGGGGTGTAGGGGACAGGGATGGAGCTCATGGGGCATGGGAATGCCCTGCTGGGGTCTGCATGACCTTGGAGCAAAGTGTTTGTGTTTGTCCCTGCTCGCTGCAGGAGGGGCTTGGCCAAGGATCCCGGCCAGGCTGGGGCTGGCACTGTTCCCACTGCAAGCAGCACTGCTGTTTCATGGGATCACAGAACCACAGGCTGGCTTGTGCTGGAAGGGACCCAAAATCTCATCCAGTCCCTCCCCTGCCACAGGGGGAGCAGGGACACCTTCCACTGTCCCAAGATTTTTTCAAGTCCCATCCAACCGAGTTAGAGGGTTGTGTCTGTTACCTTCTGCCTTTGCTAACCTAAGAATCTTGGGGTTTTAAAAGACCCCAAGCCAACAAAACCCCACATGCAGGAAGTTACAAGCCATGGCCCCAATCTCCCTGTCACTTGTCCCACTGCACATTTTTGTACAGTTCTACTCTGCTCACTCTGTGAAAGTCTTCAAACATTGACCAAGCAATGATGCCCCCAAAAAGTGCCAGAGTGTTCCCATTTGTATTTTGTGGTGTTTATTTGGGTTTTGTCCTGAACACTCCCCTGGGATCTCCATCTTAGAGAAGCTGCACTTGCCTGAAGGAGATCGTGGCTCACGTTATCCCATGTGAGCCCCTGTCCCTCCCTCCCGTTCCCACAAAGAGCCAGACATCTCCTGGTGGCTGGAGCAGCTGGTGTTTATTGGTGGTTAGAGCCCAGCAGAACCCGAGGAGATTCCCCAGGAGTGTCTCCAGGCAGGAGGGCTCCCAGGAGGCTCAGTGGTACTCGTGGGCCAGGGCGTGGGCCACCACACGCACCATCTTCTGCCAGGCAGCCTGGCAGGCGGGGGTGAACTCCTTGCCGAAGTGGGAGGCCAGGACGACGATGAGGATGTCACCCAGGAGCTGTGGGGAGGGAGCAGAAGCTGTCAGCCGTGCTGCCCCCACACCCCTTCCTGCTGTGCCCCCTGCCCTCTGAGCAGTTCACAGCACAGCAGGGAGCAGATTTGTCCTGGCCCCATCCGTGCACCAGGCTCTGAGTGTGCTGGAACCTCCCTGCGTGTGCTGGATCCTCCCTGGGTGTGCTGGATCCTCCCTGGGTGTGCTGGATCCTCCCTGGGTGTGCTGGATCCTCCCTGGGTGTGCTGGATCCTCCCTGCGTGTGCTGGATCCTCCTCCAGCACCTTCCTGTGCCCGCTCTGCAGGGTCCTCCCTCAGCTTCTACTGGCTTTACCCCTTCCTCTTCCATCCCTCCCACCCAGGCTGTCCCTGGGCTCAGAACCACCGTGCCCCCCGCTCTCTGGGCAGTTCACAGCACAGCAGGGAGCAGATTTGTCCTGGCCCCATCCGTGCACCAGGCTCTGAGTGTGCTGGAACCTCCCTCCCCGTGCACTCAGGGGTCTGAGTGTGCTGGAACCTCCCTGGGTGTGCTGGATCCTCCCTGCGTGTGCTGGATCCTCCTCCAGCACCTTCCTGTGCCCGCTCTGCAGGGTCCTCCCTCAGCTTCTACTGGCTTTACCCCTTCCTCTTCCATCCCTCCCACCCTGGCTGTCCCTGGGCTCAGAACCCTCCTGCCAAAGTGCCTGTGCTTTTTTCCCTTCTGGTTTAACCACTCCCTCAGAGCCAAGCCCAGCTTTCCCTCTAAACCCCGTCTCAGTTCCTTCCCTCTGGCTGCTCCAGGCTGTTTCTTCTGCCCAGGACACGTTGGTCTGTGCATTTCTGCCCATTCACCCTGCCTGCCTTGCCTCCCTCACAGATCCCAGCCCCATAACTCCTCTCTGTTGCCCCCAGATATGACTCTCCTTCCCCCTCCACTGTCCCAACCCTCCACGGGCTCTCAGGCAGCCCCAGGGTTTCTCTGGAGGTCTCAGTGGCTGTCAGACCCCTCTGAGCCCCTGAAGCCCCTCCTGAGCCCAGCCCTCTGCCCAGCCCAGGCTGGAGCTGAGCGTGGCTCACCCTGAAGTTCTCGGGGTCCACGTGCAGCTTGTCACAGTGGAGCTTGCTCAGCTGAGCAAAACATTTCTTGATGCCATCCAGGTTCTTGACGGCTTCCCCGAAGGAGGTCAGCACCTTCTTGCCATGGGCACGGACCATGGGGTTGCCAGTGACAGCGGTGGGGCTGGACAGGTTCCCAAAGGAGGCGAAGAACCTCTGGGTCCAGGGGTAGACGATCAGCAGCCTGGGGAGAGGTGGAGGGGCACAGACAGACAGAGACGTTGATGTTGCAGTGATGGGAGTGTTTCCCTGCATGCAGGGGCAGTTCTGGAGCTGCACTTACCTGGCCAGGGCCTCGGCGCCGCACTCAGCGACGTTGACCTTGGCCCACAGGCTGGTGATGAGCTGCTTCTCCTCAGCTGACCAGTGCACCATGGTGTTGGCAGGAGGTTGCTCGAGCTTCCCTGAACAATGCCGAGGACGTGGCTCTGAGGCTGCCCCAGGGATTTTTATAGACAGCTCAGCCTAATCTCAGTCCTCGGAGCCACTGCTTGGGGCTGGGGAGGGAGCGGAGCTGCACAAGGGCAGATAGTGGCTTTGGAAGCTGTCCAAGGGGGAGAGAGGCCTTTTCCCCCTCTGTCTGAGCAGGGACAAGCATCACCTCAGCCCCGAGCACAGGTGGAGCTGCCTGGGGGCTCCAGGGCTGTGTCCTGCTGGGGAACATCATCCCCTCCTGCCGAGTGAATCCTTCATGGTGCTGTGCACATGGAATCATGGAATCCCCCACCACTCCGGGCTGGGAGGCACCTTAAAGCCCATGGAGTGCCACACCTGCCATGGCAGGGACACCTTCCACTGTGCCAGGCTGCTCCAACCTGGCCTTGGGCACTGCCAGGGCAGCCACAGCTTCCCCGGGCACCCAGAGCCTCTCCAGTTAATTCTCAGCATGCCCTCCAGCAGCTGCACCAGTGCCCCAGGGCACTCTCCAGCTAAAAACATGAGTTTAAACTCCCTGAGAAAGAATTCCAAGGGATTCTACATTTGAAGGTTATTGAGCCATAGAGAAATCTGAAGGAAGCCTGCTGTGCCAGGCTGGCCCAGAGGCTGTTTGCAGCAGTGGCCACGGGTCCACAGCACCGTGCACCAGTGAGGCAGTGAGGGGCTGGGTACACCTCTCAGTGAGGGGCTGGATCACCTCTCAGTGAGGTTGTGAGAGGCTGGATCACCTCTCAGTGAGGAGCTGTGTCACCTCTCAGTGAGGGGCTGGATCACCTCTCAGTGAGGCAGTGAGGGGCTGGATCACCTCTCAGTGAGGGGCTGGATCACCTCTCCAGTGAGGTTGTGAGAGGCTGGATCACCTCTCCAGTGAGCAGACACAGCTCCCAGGTGCCTGTGAGGATGGCAGGGAGAGCCTGGTCAGCACTGCCCCAGCTCAGAGCAGTCCTGCAGAGAGAGACCCAGCAAAAACCAAAGGCAAGCACAGCCCAGAGAGTCCCAGCCGTGGGCTCACCCTGGTGCTCCATTCAATTTTATAAGAGTTAATTCTCAGCATGCTTGAAAATCCCCTGCTTCCTGCCTCGGGGGAGCAGCCTGGCTGGGAGATTTGGGAGCTCAGGACTGCCTGCTCAGGGAGCTCTCTGGGACACAGGCTGGGAGGGGAAATGTTCATCTCAGTGTGCTGAGCAGGGCCCATTTCTGTAGCTCTTTTTGAGTCTGCAGAGTCAAAGGGAGATCTCCTTCCCCAGTGCAAACCCAGCAGCACCTGGCAGCTCATTCCCAGCTGACACAAAAGCAGGTCCTGCTCTCAGCCTGGGATAGATTTCACTATGCTCAGGACCCTTCCCTCCAGCATCCTTCCAGGGCTGTTCCCTTTGGTGCGGATGGAAGATCTCTGAACTCCTGGAATCATAGGATCATGGAATGGTTAAGGCTGGAAGGGATCTTCAGGATATCTCATTCCACACCCCTGCCACAGGCAGGGAACCTTCTACTGGAGCAGGTCGTGGCCACACACTTGCCCCCTTCCATGGACAAGAACCTTCCCTTTGGAGACAAAGGAGGGCCAAAGGCAGCTGCAGTGAGGCCCTGCTGCCCCAAGCAGAGTCCCTTGGTCCCTGATTGCAGCAGTGTCCCCGCCAAGCTTTACAGAGCCCTTATCAGCAGCAGTGGCATCTGTGCCCAGGCTGTGCTCTGGAGCCAGGCCAGCCTCCACGCTCCTCCAGAGACTGCAGGGCCTTGTGTCATAAGCCAGCAGGTCCCGGGGTTGTCTTTGTTCCTATTTTAAAATCCCAGAAGGTTTGCCTTGGGAGGGACTCCACAGCCCACCCAGTGTCACCCCTGCCATGGCAGGGACACCTTCCCCTGTGCCAGGCTGCTCCAGCCCCAGTGTCCAGCCTGGCCTTGGGCACTGCCAGGGATCCAGGGGCATCCTGCATCCAGGGCTCTCCTGTACTCTCCTGACCTGTTTTTGGCTCAGGGGGCTGGTGGTAGCTGTGGCTTTGTCACCCCAGAGAGGACAGCTGTCACTGGGAGAGTGGGACACTGGCTCTGTGACACAGGCACCATCCCTGTCACTGTCCCTAGCCCTGCACAGCAGGACTGTCCAGGTGCTGGTCAGAGAGCAGGACGTGCTGCACAGCACCACTGGGACGTGTCCAGAGGAGAGGAGAGCAGACTGATCACAGTGAGATCATTCACTGAGCTGGGACGTCCCTGCTGAGGTCCCCAGCCACTGCACTGGGTGCTGCCCCAGGCCAGGGTGCTGCTGGCTGCACCCACCCTCCAGCGCTGCTGCTGGAGAGTTCCACGGCTCTGAGCCGGAGCAGGACATGGGGATGGTCTCACCTCCTGCCAGCCTGCTGAAATGCCCTTTGCTGCTGAAAGGAGAAGCTGTGCTGCAGGGAAGCTGGATTCAGATTTTGGGCTTTTTTCCCTAATTGTTTTCCCCCAGCCCCTTGGTGCTGCTGGCAGAGCTGGACCTTGCCTGCGTGGCTGTGCAGGATAGAGGGGTGAGTGCACATCCCTGCTCTATCAGGAGAAAGGCAGAATATTTATTCCTAAATCATGCTAAACAAGTGTTTTATCATTCTGAGACACCAACTTGTCTCCTTGTTGCTTTTTAGGCTGTTCCTGGAAAAACATTGCTGAAACTGAGATGCTTACATAGAATCTTTCAATTCCAGTGAAAAGATGTGCTTCATTAAGCCAAAATGAGTAAAAAAAGGTTCTAACCCATCCTGTGTGAGAGCTGCCCTCATCCCCTGCTCTTAGGATCTTACACATTTCAGATATCAAACTCTGATCAAGAAGCACCAATCCTGCACCTTCACTGAAGCAGAAAATCTGCTTTTGCTCAACTTAATACATCAGTAGCAAACTATGGAGGGGTGAATTTCTACCTAATCAGTGAATCCCTATGAATTTATATCCTTGCAAATATCCCAACCTTCTGGAGCTGCACCCACCTGGCCAGGGCCTCGCCGCCGCATTCCTCCACGTTGACCTTGGCCCAGACGCTGGTGATGAGCTGCTTCTCCTGGCTGCCCAGTGCACCATGGTGGCTGCAGGAGCTCACAGAGCTGTGCTGAGCCCGGAGCCTGGGCCGGGTTTTATGGCCTGGGCCAGCCCCGGGCCGGCCCCTGCAGCGGGGCCATTGGCTGGCACGGGCGGGGGTCCCCGCCGGGGGTCCCCATGCAGTGGTCACTCTGCAGTGAGGTGTGGTCTTCGAGGAAATCCCTGCGAGTCCCTTAACAGGCCAGGCCAGCACACAGGACCCTCTTATCTCTCTCTCCCTCAGCCCTGGCTGCCTGTTCACCACAGGCATGGACATTCCACCCATCCCTGAACAGGCACAGAGCCCTCAGAGAGGTGCTTTAGAATAATGGCATTGTCTGGGTTGGAAGGGACTTTAAAGCTCTTCTTGTTCTACCCCCTGCCATGGACAGGGCACCTTCCACTATGCCAGGTTGCTGCCAGCCCTATCCAGCCTGGCCTTGGACACTTGCAGGGATGGTGCTGGTGAAGCAGAGCTCACCTCCTCAGCTCCAGGTGTCCAGGAATACCTGTGTGGGATGGCAGGGTGGGCTGCAGCTGTGAAGAGGCTCCTTGCCCACGTGTGTCCAGTGTGAGCCCTCCAGGGGTCTCTCCCTGCAGGAAGGAAAGGACAGCAGGACCCTGCCCTGTCACAGGCCATCAGCAGCACCCATTTCCACCAGGTCGGGCTCTGTCTACAGGCTTTTGTCTGACTCTGGCTGACACCTGCACAGGTGTTTTCCTGGTTTCCAGGCCTCCAGTGAAGCTGTACCCCTGTGCTCAGAAAGGCAAAGCCAGGATGCTTGAGCTGTCAGGCATCCAGACACAACCACAGACATGGAATTATTCCAGGCCAGGCTGGATGGGGCACGGAGCAACCTGCTCCGGTAGAATGTGTCCCTGCCCAGTGCAGGGAGCTGGAACTGGGTGATTATCCAGCCCAAACCATTCCAGGATCCTTTGAATCTGTGGCTTTGGGTCTGACTGTGGGATGGTTAAGAAGTCTCACCCAAACCTCAGAAATCTTCTAGTTACAGACTGATACTGGTCCATTGATCTGGGAATGCTGGAGAGGAACTTCTTACATGGGGAGGCAGAAATAGGAGCCAGGGGTGGCTGCCAGTGCCAGAGGGCAGCAATGGATGGGATCTGGGCAATGAGGAATTGTTCCCTGGCAGGGTGGGCAGGGCTGGCACAGGGTGCCCAGAGCAGCTGGGGCTGCCCCTGGATCCCTGGCAGTGCCCAAGGCCAGGCTGGGCACTGGGGCTGGAGCAGCCTGGCACAGGGGAAGGTGTCCCTGCCATGGCAGGGTGGCACCGGTTGATCCTTAAAACCCCTCCGAACCCAAACCATTCTGGGATTCTGGAATTCTCTGTCTGCTTTTCTGTTTGAACTTATGATTTCTTCTTCTCTTGAAGCACTTTTCTCATCCTTTGCCTCATCCTCACAGCAGGCAAACCTCGTGCCATGGCTGTTGTGGTTTTGGTACATCCCATTCATGGCATGGTGCATTGTCCTGTGAACTTGGAAAAATCTCTTGGAGACCTGGATTTTGCCTCAGTCCCTCTCCCTTTTGCAGTGCCAGGACCCAGAGAATGGCTCCCAGTGCCAGGGTGGCAGGGTGGCACTGGTGAGGTTTAAGGTCCCTCCCAAGCTGCAGCAGTCTGGCACTGTGTGATCTCACTGGAGACACAGTGGCAGGAGCCCATCACCATGATCCCCTTGGGCCATTCACATCTGCAGTCACATTGTAGCTCCTCACCACAGGGTTCTATGAGACTTTATTAATTTTTTCCATTTCTGGGCCTTGGGAGAGGCACTGTGAGCAGCCCCAGGCAGGCTCTGATAGCCCGGGCAGCGGGGCTGTGTGGGGCAGATAAAGGTATCGGTGCTGCCTGGGCTGCTCACCTGCACAGCAGGCACACGACACACCCGTGCCTCTCAGCAGATCTGGGGACTCCAGAAGTTGCCCAAATTCACCCTACAGAGCTACACGGAGTGTGATGGAATAGTGCAGCCTGAATTCCCAGGCAGGCATTCCCATCCCGAGCCAGCAGCTGCTCACCCAGCTGGGGATGACAATGAATGGCCTCAGTGGCCTCTGCATTTATTACCTCTGCAGCCTGAATTCCCTGGCATTGAAATTAAAACCCAGGCTGCATCTGGGGCTGTTCTTAGCAATGCACTCGCCTCGTCTCTGATAGGAGATTCATTTTCAGCTCTGCAAGGCCGAGCTTGAAAAGGGAAAAGATAATGATGCTTTTCTGCTGCATCTGAACCAGCAGCAGGGAAACGCTCAGGGAGGGGCAGCAGGAGGGTGAGCCTGGGACAGGCAGGACATCAAACACAGAGGCTAGAGGGGGGTGTTGACTGCAGCATTAATATTATTTTTTAAATGTGTTAATAAATGCTGGGTTTCTGGAGCCTGGTGAAAACAGGCAGAGACATGGCTTGTGGTGAGAAGCCTCCTGGCCTGGACCCACGCTGTGACCCATCAGGGCCTGGTTTTACTGGTGTGGGAGCAAGATGACTTTTCATGGATGGGTAATGATGGCCATAAAGCTGAGGGGGAAGGAGGAAGGCAGACAAAACAGGAGGAAGAGAGGCAGAAGTAATTTCCATTCAGACAGGCCCACTCCATGCTGCTCTCCTGTACTGATCCCTCTAATGGTTGGTTTTATCCCCACAGCAGCTCTTTAACCTCTAAATCCCTTCAGATGGGCACAACAGCAGAGGAATAACAGCAGGTGAATCAGCCTCTTAATCGGATTAGGGTCTTGTCCCTGTGCCTGGGGACTGTCTGTCATGGCAATGGCCTTTTGCAGCCACTGTGCAAATTTACACCTCAGCCCCAGCCCGTCCTGCCCCACAGGGCCCATTTGGCTGTGGCCAGTCTGGGCTGGCTAGGAGGGCACAGGTGATTTCCCACCACACTGCTGCTGCAGGCACCCAGCAAGGGGTGGCTTCAGAATGGATCTGGGGGCAGCAGGGGAGAGCAGGAACCCCTGGAAAACTGGAGAGGGGCTGGGGACAAGGCCTGCAGGGACAGCACCCAGGGAATGGCTGCCAGTGCCAGAGGGCAGCAATGGATGGGATCTTGGCAGTGAGGAATTGTTCCCTGGCAGGGTGGGCAGGGCTGGCACAGGGTGCCCAGAGCAGCAGAGCAAAGCCAGATGCTCACAGACTTTAGTGAAAGGGGCAGAGCAGCTGCTCTAAGCCATGCAGGATGGGGTCAGTGATGAATCCAGGGAAAAGCAGAACGAGTGTGTCTGAATCACAACAAATTGTACAACTCCCCCTGGCTGGGACTGGTTGTTGCCTGAACATGGTGGGAAAGAATTTCTGGAAATGCAGTTTTCTCCTTAGAAGGGAGAGGGATACTAGATGACACCACAGGTAGCAGAGGTGTGGGGGCTCCACAGTGGAGACCCCAGGCAGGCTGGAATTGTAGTTCCATCCCCACTGAGGGACTCTGCTCTCAGCACAAAGACAGTCCTGTTTGTTTCTCTGCTGTAACAACCAGGGGAAATGCAGTGGAGGGTAAATTAATTCCTCCCTGCCCTTAACAAAGCTCTCTCATTTCAGGATCCAGATTTAACCCTTGGTATCTTTTAGGTCCGACTCCAAGAGGTGTGGAGCACCCCTTGCTGTGACTGCTCCAGCTTCACCTTCATGCCATGTAATCATAGAAACATGGAACATCCTGAGCTGAAAGGGACAGAATCCCAGGTAAAGCCAGCTGTGCTGCCTTGTCCCCAGCCCAGAGCACTCAGTGCCACCTGCAGGGGACACCTGCAGGGATGGGCACTGCCAAGCTCCCTGGGCAGCCCCTGCCAAGGCCTGAGCACCCTTTCCATGGGCAAATTCCTCCTGGAAAAGGACCTACAAGGGTCACTGTGTCCAGCTTCTGGCCCTGCACAGGACCACCACAGGAATCCCAACACTTCTCATATAAACATGTTTTAACTGACTTGGAGCCTTTCACAGTATTGCTTTAATTTTATAGGAAATCTGCTGGGTCTGCAGTGTGGGTCCTGGGTGACGCTGCTGGGGGAGGGTGCAGCAGAAATGCTCAAGAACCTGCTGGACCCTGTTTGCCCACCCCTGTCCCTGTGTCCCTGCAAAGGGACCCACCAGGATGTGGCACTGGAGCCACCCCTGTGCCACGGGCTGGAGGCTCCAGAGCTGCTCCAGGGGTGGTGACAGGGTGAGGGGCACGAGGTGAGGCCTAAGGGCCAGGATGTCTGGGACAAAGCTGAATTTTAGTGAGCCTGCTCCTGAGTTATCCCTGAGCACAAGAACCTGGGCAGGAGTACCCAGAAAGGGACAAAAGCAGGACTGTCACTGCAGACAGCTCCTGCAGGACGGGCTCGCTGAGGGCACAGGTTCTCTGGAGGGTCTGCTCTGCCCCGGCCCTGGCTGGGCTCCATCAGCACAGGAGGGACCCGGGCTGCAGGGGACATGAGGGGACACTGAGGAGATACTGAGGGGGCACTGATGGGGACACTGAGGGAGAGACTGAAGGGACACTGAGGGAGAGACACTGAGGGGCACTGAGGTGACATTGAGGGAGGGACACGGTGGCCGGGCAGGGAAGGGAGGGCCGAGGGAGGCAGACGGCTTTGCCAGCTGTTGCCACCGTGGGGCTGCCCTGCCCGGCTCGGCTGCTGGCCCGGGCACTGAGGGAGGGACACAGGGGAAACTGAGGGAGGGACACTGAGGGGAAACTGGGGGGGACACTGAGGGAGGGATACTGAGGGGACATGAGGGGACACTGAGGGGACACTGAGGGAGAGACTGAAGGGACACTGAGGAGATACTGAGGGGGCACTGAGGGGTCACTGAGGGGACACTGAGGGAGAGACTGAAGGGACACTGAGGGAGAGACACTGAGGGGCACTGAGGGTGGGACACTGAGGGGCACTGAGGTGACACTGAGGGAAGGACACGGTGGCCGGGCAGGGAAGGGAGGGCCGAGGGAGGCAGACGGCTTTGCCAGCTGTTGCCACCGTGGGGCTGCCCTGCCCGGCTCGGCTGCTGGCCGTGCCGGCTCCTCGGGCTATCAGCCAGGACCCCCGCCCGGGCCGGGCCCCGCTGCCGTATCGGCCCGGGCAGCCCGCAGCCCCTCCCGGGGCCGGCCCCGATAGCCCGGCCTGCAGCCCCAGATAAGCCCGGCCCAGGCGGCTCCGGCTGTTTGCAGCCGGCAGGGTCAGCCCAGGGGCTGGACAGACCCACGGACACATCTCCATCCGCACAGCATCCCACCAGGTGCAGTTCTGCTGGGGAACCATGCAGCTGCTCGGGCTGGAGAGACCCCAAATGCCACCCAGTGCCACCCTGCCATGGCAGGGACACCTTCCCCTGTGCCAGGCTGCTCCAGCCCCAGTGCCCAGCCTGGCCTTGGGCACTGCCAGGGATCCAGGGGCAGCCCCAGCTGCTCTGGGCACCCTGTGCCAGCCCTGCCCACCCTGCCAGGGAACAATTCCTCATTGCCAAGATCCCATCCATTGCTGCCCTCTGGCACTGGCAGCCATTCCCTGGGTGCTGTCCCTGCAGGCCTTGTCCCCAGTCCCTCTGCAGCTCTCCTGGAGCCCCTTCAGGCCCTGAGCTCTCCCTGGAGCCTTCTCCTCTCATTTCCATGGGGTACATTGAGTTTTCCTATCCTGTTTTCCTCTCAGGGTAGCTGAGAGCTGTCCCAGGACAGGGGTTCAGGGTCTCCTCCATCCCTGCCCGGCGCCCCCATGCAGGATTCACATGGACCAGGAGGATCGACAGAACTCTCCTCAGGACTCTTCCCTCTACTCCTGTAGCCGTGGGGCTGCTCTCCCCCTCCCAGAGCTCCCGTGGCCCCTGGGGGAGCCCAGGGCTCCGTGGACAGGCTGAGCCAAGCCCTGCTGCAGGAAAAGCACCTGAACCATGTTGGGATGTGCTGTGCTGGCAGCAGAGGGTGCAGAGCAGGTACCCCTCAGCCATGTAGCCCCAGACCCCGCAGGGTGAGGGTCTTGCTGTCCCCCAGCAGCTCCAGCCCCCTTTGTGCCAGGCCAGGTGAGCTCTGAGGGGTCTCACAGTGCTCCTGGCACTGCACCTGCCCCAGGCCAAGCTGGCCATGCCTCTCGCTGCTTTGCAGAAGGTTCTCTCCATCACAGACCTCCACAAAAAGCCCCAGTGTTGTTAGGGAACCATGAGAGCTGTCCTGGACCTCACAGTCCTGGGGCAAGTGCTAACTGAAGGTTTCCTGTGTGTGAGGATGGCTCCAGGTCAGGCAAGGCCTTTTCTCCTCCTGCTCATGGCATGGCATCACCTGGGTCAGAACCCATGTTTTATGGCTCTTGTTCTGCCTTTCCAGCCTTAAAGCTGGCAATGGATAGAGCTGTTCCTGTGTTGGGGCTGGTTTGGGGAGGGCAGACCTGCCCTGACTCCACACCTGACCCCAACCTGCCACCAGGCTCCTATTCAAGTAGCAAAAGCAGCTCTGAAAATGGGGTGTTACCTGGGGAACTCCCTCTGCAGAGGCAGGTGAGGCACTGGACCTGGTCCTTGGAGCAGCCCTTGGCAGAGCCTCTCCCACTGCCCCAACAGAGACCATGGGGCTCATCCCAGCATCTCTGGGGTCCCAGACTTGTGAGTGAGCCAGGGCTGGCCTGAGCTCCATCACTCATTCTGCTCTGCTCTGCCCTGCACCAGGACTGGGCAGAACCAGGGAGCCCCAAACAGCAGCTGGGCTGGGGTGGGCTCAGGGCACGTCCCACAGACCCCATTACACCCAGCCCAGGGCATGCTGCTGTTTGAGGCTCCTCTTCACACACCCAGGCAGAAAGGGGGCTCTGAGAGCCAGGTCAGGATCAGGACCAGGGTCAGGATCAGGACCAGGGTCAGGACTGGGACCAGGGTCAGGATCGGGACCAGGGTCAGGATCGGGACCAGGGTCAGGATTGGGACCAGGGTCAGGAATGGGACCAGGGTCAGGACTGGGACCAGGGTCAGGATCGGGACCAGGGTCAGGACTGGGACCAGGGTCAGGAATGGGACCAGGGTCAGTGTCAGGACCAGGACCAGGACCAGGGTCAGGATTAGGACCAGGGTCAGGATTGGGACCAGGGTCAGGATCAGTTCCAGGGTCGGGACCAGAGTCAGGATCGGGACCAGGGTCAAGATTGGGACAAGGGTCAAGATCAGTTCCAGGGTCAGGATCAGGACCAAGGTCAGTGTCAGGACCAGGGTCAGGATCAGGATCGGGACCAGGATCAGGTACAGGATCGGGACCAGGGTCAAGATCAGTTCCAGGGTCAGGATCAGGACCAGGGTCAGGATCAGGACCAGGGTCAGGGTCAGGGTCAGGATCAGGACCAGGACTAGGGTCAGGATCAGGATCGGGATCGGGACCAGGGTTGGGACCAGGGTCAGAGTTGGGGTCAAGGTGAGGGGTCTCACCCCCATGCCCAGGACTGGAGCCCACTCTCTGCAGTTTATGGGATGTTTATGGGCTCTCCCATCACAGACTGGTGTGAGTTTGCACAGGCTCAGGGTGCTGAGTCACGGTGCTGGCCCCAGCCTGGCCGTGCTCGGGGCTGATAACTGGGGTGGCACAAACAGGAGCCTTGTGGGCAGTGATAAGGCAGCCCCTGGCCCCAGGGCAGTGTCCCCTTTCTGCTGAGTCAGACTCTGACACAGCAGAAAACATTTCTGCTGAGCCAGAGGGGCAGCCAGGGAAAACAGACAGCTTTTTAAATTGATTCTTTATTTTTCTTAGCAGAACCAGGAGGGCAGCTCTGGAGTCCCCGGCATGGGCTGCTGACTCCCGTGTCAGCGAGGGGCTCAGGACCCTCCTCTGCCTGTGGGGCAGAGCCCGTGGCAGGCTCAGCAGCTCTACATTCCCAAAGGGATGGTGGGACACGTCCTGAGATCCAGCCCCTCTTCTCCATCCCCCTTCTGCTGCCCTGCTGCACGTTAGGGACAGGGTGCATGGAAGGTGCCAGCTGCTGCTGAAAACTTTCCTGTTTTCCTAAGAGAGGGAATTTCACACCTTGCCCACCTCCTCCCCTGCTCCCCCCATGCTGGCCACAGTCAGGGCTCCCTTGGGGAAACTGAGGCACAAAGCAGAGTGGCTGCTCTCCAGAAATGCCATGAAATGCTCATGGCAGGGGCAGATCCCCTTCAGGACAGGGGCATGTTTGCTGTCCCATGTCCTGCTCCTAGCCAGGGACACAGCAAGATAGTCTTCCTCTGAATGAATAGAATTCCTTAAAATGTTTAGAATTCTTTCATTAGAATCTTAGCATCATGGCATCTCAGATCGGTTTGGGTTGGAAGGAACCTTAAAGCTCATCCATTTCTACCCCCCTGCCATGGACAGGGACACCTTCCACTGTCCCAGGCTGCTCCAAGCCCTGTCCAGCCTGGACGTTCTGACTGGACAGTGATGCCCAGCCAGTTTGGGGTGCAGTGTCCCCCTGACCAAGCCAGCCCCAGGCCAGGGAGGTGGGTGCTGAGCCAGGTGTGCTCCAGCCAAGCTCCTGCTGTGCTCCCAACCCAGCCTCTTCCCCTGCGACTGGGCAGCTTTTGGATTCAGGGTGACCCACAGCACCAATGATTGTGTTAGGGACCTGAGCTCCATGGAGTCAAAGGCACAGAATTCACCCAGGATCTCCTGTGACCCCAGGAGCTTGTGTTTTTCACAAGTCCCTTCCAAACAGGCCCTGAGAGGGGGTCTGGAGGCAGCAGCACTGCCCCAGGAAATGCCTTTTCCTTTCTGCTTGGAATGTGGCTGCTTCCTGGGGCAGCCTCTGCTGGTTCATGCCCAGGGGACCACAGACCTTTGGGGGATGCAAAAGGACCAACAGAACCACGGGATGAGGCAAAAGGACCAACCAGTTTATTGTTGACACAAACAGCAGCAATTCCACTTTTTCAGGCAGGGAAACTGAGGCATGGCTTAAAGCGGGGAGGGAAAAACAGCAGGAGTGACTGGGGCAGACCCAGTTTGTTCTCCCAGGACCCCCCCCACCTGCTGTGAGACCCTGCTGCTCCCATCACTGCCTGGGGTTTCCAGCAGAGGTGCTGGGGTTTGGCTGCTCCAAGCCCATCCCTAGTCTTGGCTGTGGGTTTTCCACCTTTTTTTTTTGTTCGGGATTTCTCCACCCTCAGAGGTAAACCTCGGTGGGGTCCTGGTGTGGTGAGAGGCAGAGGGAGCAGAGCAGAGCTGGGGGGTGAGCTGCCTCTGCCCTCCAAGGCTCACTTTACCCCACTCAGTTCCAGAGGTGTCCCAAGCACGAGGCTGCAGCCACGGGACAGCTGCTCCCCAGGGTTTGCAGCTTCCAGGTGTGGGAACCACCTGCACCCCTGTCCCCGAAAACCCCTGCCCCAAACCTCCTTGTTCTGCACGGTCCCAGCCCCAGTGCCCAGGGAACCTCCTCCCTGCCCAGTTTGTGCATCCCTGCTAGGAACCAGTAAATAACTCTGTGATTTGAGGTTGCACCCACAGCCCCAGCTGTGCCCTGCCCGGCTCAGCACAGCCCAGCCCTGCCCAGCTGCTGCTGTGGCACAAAAGGTGCTGAGATAAGGCACTTCCCCAGCCCCCTGGGCATCCAGCACGGCTGTGCAGAGCTGGGAGGACAGGGATGGGGCACACAGGGGTTCGGGGCAGGCAGGGTGAACTCTGGCAGCTCCTGTCTCTCAGGGTGGACGCTGCACTGCAGCTGCGCTGCTCTCACTGGCCGTGTCAGGTGCTGCTGCCTGAAGATGACTTTAACCTCCTCCTTCCTCTCTGTGTGATGTGGGGATGGTTGTTGGAGAGCTTGTGGAGGACTGGAGCGCCTTCCCCACGTTACAGCTCTGTGCAGGCCCGGGTGAGCCCTGCGGGGAGCCAGGATGGCAGGGAGGGGAGCAGCCCTAAAGCCCCGGGGCTGGAGCTGGAGAGTGGGCAGTGGGGCCAGGGCCTGGGCACGGCTCTGCACAGGCTGCTCTCTGCTCTGGGGCTGCACAGTGCCCACACTCAGTGGAACCAGGCGGGTGAGGGCCGTGTCCTGCCCGGCCCATCCCTGAGCAGCAGCAGGGCTGGTGCTGCTGGCCATGGCCCGTGGGCACTGCTGCTGTGGTGGCTCTGGGGACACGCACAGCTCCTGGGGACATCCTTTGGCCACCAGGCCCCAGGCAGTCCGTGATCCCCGGCCATCCAGGCTTGGTCCCATGTGTGTGAGGGGCTGATGGGGGTCACAGGAGGAGAGGGGTCCGGGCCTGCCAGGGTCACCCTGCACAGCTGGGCTGGGGTCCCAAACAGCTGACACAGGAGCAGCTCCCGGGTTTGCCAAGGGACCTCTACAGAACCCTGGCTTTTGGGCTCGGTCTGTAACCAGAAACCAGGTGGTTTCTCTTTAAAATTACACGAGGTCTGTCCTCCCTGCTTTTGTGTCTGCTTCACCTGGAGCGTTCTGCCTGGCTCCGGCTGAACAGCCAGCATACTGGAAACAACGGTCCAGTAGGATACAACTGTCATTCCACAATTAGCAGGCACTAATTAGGCTGCTGCTGGGCATGCTGCAGCTCAGCCTCTTCAGCTGGCCCATTTGGATTGGGAATCACAGAGAGCTTTGGGTCAGAAGGGACCTTAAAGGCCATCTCATTCCAGCCCCCTGCACTGCCAGTGCCATGTCCCCAAGCGCCACTTCTCTGACAATCTCTGCCCGGAGGTCCTGGCAGAACCTTGTCCACAGGTGAGACGCCCCTGTCCTCCCCCTCAGAGCTGTCCTCAGACCCTGTCCCATGGAAAGGAGCTTTGGGACACACCGTGGGTGGCAGAGGTTTGGACTGAGAATCACAGAGAGCTTTGGGTCGGAAGGGATCTTAAAGGCCATCTCATTCCAGCCCCCTGCACTGCCAGTGCCATGTCCCCAAGCGCCACTTCTCTGACAATCTCTGCCCGGAGGTCCTGGCAGAACCTTGTCCACAGGTGAGACGCCCCTGTCCTCCCCCTCAGAGCTGTCCTCAGACCCTGTCCCATGGAAAGGAGCTTTGGGACACACCGTGGGTGGCAGAGGCTTCCCCAGGCTCAAAGAGGAGTGAGGCAAACCCACGGGAGAGCCCTTGGGTCCCCGGACAGCCCCTGGCTCTGGCATTGAGGAGACACGCGGTGGGTTTTCCTTGTGCCCAAACCCCTCCGCAGGCACCTGCGGGCGGCCAGGCTGGGACAGCCCGAGCTCCTGGAGCAACATCTGCCGTGCCGGTGCTCAGGAGACCCGGCTGAGCCCCTCTGCCTCAGAGTGAGCCCTCCTGGGCAGCTGGGAGCCCCCAGGGCAACTGGGGAGTCCCCGGGGCAACTGGGAGCCCCAAGGGTAACAGGAGCGCCGAGGGTAATGGGAGCCCCGAGGATAACTGGGGAGTCCCCGGGGTAACTGGGGAGCCAGAGGGTAACTGGGAGCCTGCAGGGTAACTAGAAGCCCTGAGGGTAACTGGAGCGCCGAGGGTAATGGGAGCCCTGAGGGTAACTGGGGATCCCAGAGGGTAACTGGGAAGCCTGGAGAATAACTGGGAGCCCCGATGATAACTGGGGAGCCCCGAGGGTAACTGGGAGCCCGGAGGGTAACTAGGGAGCCTGGAGAATAAGTGGAGCCCCGAGGGTACCTGGGGAGCTCGCAGGGCAACTGGGGTTCCCAGAGGGTAACTGGGGAGTCCGGAGGGTAACTGGAAGCCCCGAGGGTAACTGGGGATCCCAGAGGGTAACTGGGACCCCCGAGGGTAACTGGGAGCCCAGAGGGTAACTGGGGAGCCAGAGGGTAACTGGGACCCCCGAGGGTAACTGGGAGCCCAGAGGGTAACTGGGGAGCCCGGGGCCACCCGCACGGGCAGAGCCGGGTGCCGTGTGCCCCTGCGGGGGAAGGTGCGGGGCCGGGGTCCCCTGGGCAGAGCCCCCTGAGCCGTGCCGGGACCGGCCCAGCGCGGGGCGAGCGGCGGAGCGCGGCTCGATGCCTCCCTCTGCCGGGGCGGCGGGGCCGGCCGGGGCGCGGAGCGGGGACCGGGGTGGGGGATGTGGATGCAGGATGTGAAATGTGGGATGTGGGATATGGGATGTGGAATGTGGGATGTTGGATATGGGATGTGGAACGTGGGATGCGGGATGTGGATGCGGGATGTGGATGCGGGATGTGGGATGTGGGATATGGGATGTGGAATGTGGGATGCTGAATATCGGATGTGGAATATGGGATGCGGGATGTGGATGTGGGATGTGGAATGCTGGATGTGAAATGTGGGATGTAGGATGTGAGGGATATGGGATGTGGAATATGGGGTACGGGATGCAGGATGTGGGGTGTGGGATATGGGATGTGAAATGTGGAATGCGGGATGTGGATACGGGATGTGGATGCAGGGTGAGACAGGCAGATGCAGAGGCAGGAGATGGGATGAGATGCAGCACCCAGGGGCAGGAGGTGGATGCAGGATGCAAGAGGCAGGTGGGGGATGTGGAAAATGCAAATGCAGGAGGTGGGTGTGGATGCAGGATGAGGGAGGTGGGATGCAGGTGTGGATGCAGATGTGGAAGGAGATGATCCTTACGGTCCCCTGCCATCCAAACCACTTTCTGATTCCATGATTCTCTTTACATTTGTGCCCGGGAGCCCCAGGTAGCCCTGTGGCAAACCCACCTCGTGGTGGGTCTCACAGCTCACCCCGTCTGTCTGGGATGATGCATCAGGAATCCCACCACGAGGTGGGACCTCCCTCCCTTGTCAGCTCCTCTGCAGACCCACAGACCTGGTCCTTAAAGCTGCCAATCTCTGAGAGCTGCATTTGCTTTTCTGGTTAATCTTTAACTCCCCTTTGTGCCCACAAGAATAACTGTTCTCACTGATAACCCCTGGCTGACCCCTGTGATCCCCGTGGGCTCTGCTCCCTAATTAACTGATGGAAATTGCTGATATCCCTGGCACAATAGCGTGGATATCCAGCACTCTGCTATAGAATATTTTAGACTTTATTGAGGTATTTATTCATTCTTTTTTTAGCAAAGCAAGCAGGCACAGCCTCATTCTCCATTAGACCTTTTTGTGAGAGGGAAATCAATAGAGGAAATTGTGTTTGGTTCAAATATTTATGCAGTGACATCACTCAGGGTATGGGCATTTCTCCAAATTAACCACACAAAGTGTGCAAAGCACAACTCCACATCTGACCATAAAAATGGCATACACAGAGCCATGGAATCATGGAATGCTTTGGACTGGAAGGGACCCTAAAGACCACAGAATCAGAGAATTGTGGAATAGAATCATGGAGGCTGGCACAGCCCTGCCAGCCCAGGCAGTGCCAGCTGTGCCCCATGGCCACCTTGTCCCCAGCCCAGAGCACTCAGTGCCACCTGCAGGGGACACCTGCAGGGATGGGCACTGCCAAGCTCCCTGGGCAGCCCCTGCCAAGGCCTGAGCACCCTTTCCATGGGCAAATTCCTGCTGCTGGCCCAGCTGAGCCTGCCCTGGCCTTCAGTGGTCCACTGATCATTGTGAGAATTCACAATTCTCAGGTGGAATTTTATCACCCAGGTCTGTGCAGTGATTCCAGTTGGCACCAGGTGATGACCTTGCCCTTCAATTTTAACATAATTTCTGCTGTCTTTCTGAGCTGTGTGGCCCCACCACCCCTGTGAGCCTCCAGCACAGGCCCCAGCTCCAGCCCAGCTCGTGCCATGACTGTGGGGTCACATTTGGCTTCCTGCAGCTTTCTGGTGGTGCAGGACTGACCCGATTTTTGCTCTGTACACAACTGGAGTCGTGGCAACGGGACCAGAAGCAGATGTTGGCCATGAGGCTGTCAGCAGTGGGAGAAGAATTTTCCCCTGCTTTGTGAATCTTTGTTAGGCTGATCACTGCAATACTGGGGATTAGCTCAGCACAGGTGTGGGAGGTGCAGGTGTTGAAGGCCATGCTCCTCAGTGCTGGAGAAATTGTGCATGGAATACATCTTGTCAAGTATTGAATATCTTGTCAAGTATATGAGTTCTGAAAGAGCACCTTGGCCTTTCCTGGGCATTTTCCCTGCCAAGATTTCTACGTGGGGAGATGGTGGCTGCTACTATTTATTAAGCTTGTTGGGTCTCTTTGGAGGTTTCTCCTAAAAAATGAGGGTCTGTTGCTGGATTCCCTGTGGCTTCTGGTAGTTTCCTTGATGGTGAAAGAAGCCTGGGGCATCACTCTACACAGTAAATATAGAAGTTTTAATTGAGTGGAATGAGAAGCTGTGCAGTGGCAGGCCAGTGAGAAGTTTTTGTAATATTGAATCTCAAAATTGTTATCATAATGGTAGTGCACTCTAAAGCATTGCTGATTGGTTTGTGGAAAAGCAGGGGGATTGGAATTAAACCCCCCAGCCCATGCAGCACCTGCAGCCCATCACTGTGCTGTGCTGGGACACCCAGCAGTGTCCCAGAGCCTGGGCAGGCACTGCCCAGTGTGCCCAGCCCTGCCCAGCCTGAGAGCCCCGCTCCAGGCATCAGCACCTTCCTGCAAGACCTTGGGCTCGCTGGCACCCACCAGGACCAGGCCCTCCTGCAGTTACTCCAGGGATCAGCACCTTCCTGCAAGGTCCCGGTGACCTTGGGCTCACTGGCACCCACCAGGACCAGGCCCTCCTGCAGTTCTCCTGTCTGCTCAGATAGTCCTCATCTGGAATAAAAGCACCGATTGTAATGAAATTTAACCCAAAATCTGTGGCACAGGTCTGCTCAGGCCCAAAGCCACAGCACAGTCTGTCCTCAGGCACTGGTTGATTCCTGCTCAGATTGGTTAATGATAGCAAGGAGCTGCTGTGACTCAGCTGGGTGTTTGAATTCTGTGGGATTGACTTTCCAAACACCCTGGGAGGGTGCTCACAAAGGCAGTCCCACAGAATTCAAACCATCTCGAGCCCAGGACCCGTTTCCATGGCAGGGAGCGATCAGTGCCCAGCTGTCCCAGGCTGCAGTGCCACCCTCAGCCCCTCCGGCAGCCTTGAGGCTTTCAGCCTCCCACGGGGAGCTGCCATCACCCAAATCCTCGGGAAACACCCTCCCCTGCCAGCTGGGAGTCCCTCTGACACAGAGACTGAGCAGATTGCTTTCTTCTCTGGAGCTTTATTTTCTCCTAGTGGAAGGTGTCCCAGCCTGTGCCAGGGGTGGAACCCGGTGGGTTTTAAGGTTCTTCCCAACCCAAACCCTTCTGTTAGAAAACATGAAATAAAAGCCTCTCTGAGTCCCTCAGAAACAGAAGGGAAATGCAGGGATTGAACTGGAACCTTTAGAGAAACTGAAATATATTAAGCCTCACAGACACGAAGCAGAAGTGCAAGTTTTGGTTTTAAGTAAGTAGAAATGTATCTTAAGAGACTGTGTTAGCAGTAAAAGGCCCTAAAGCCTAGTTTAAAGTTCAGTGTTACCTTTCACAAAATTAACTTAGCTCCAGACATAAGGAAAACACAGCAGAACATTGCGTGCATTTCTGGATAGAGCAGATAGACCCATTTGTGTGACCAGATAGAACCATTTGTGTGACCAGATAGAACTGTGTGTGTAGATTTTGGGTAAGGACTGACACTGCTTTCACACACTGGAATTAAGCCAGGATAGGTGTAGGAAGAATGTTTTAGGATCGTGTTTTTAGCTGATTATATGATTTATGAATAAAATCCCCTGTATTGGGATGCAAAAGAGGTAGCAGTAGCTTCTGCTGCTGCTTCCAAACATTAGGATTCTGTGCCAGAAAGCCTTTAGCTTTTTTTAGCATGCACTTTAATACTGTGAGCTCTTTGCCTTCGAGGCTGATGTATTAATGAAGTAAACAACCTTACACCAACCAGCAACTGCTCCTGTCTCTTTGAGGGCCCAAGACCCCCTCCTAACTCACCACCCTTCCATCTTTCCGTGACTGTGTGCCCAGCCTGGCTGAGAGCTGGGGCCCAGGCCCTGCACCCACAGCCCAGAGCATGGCCCCTGCTGCCCGGGGGCTTTGTACTGAGTGTGCAAGGTCTCGGGGAACTGAGCTGAGCTTTGCTCTGTGGACTTGTCCTGTGGGTTTGTTTTCAGCAGCTCTCCTTCAGACAATGGCAATGGCTCTTTGCTCCTCACTGCCTGGTGCAAACGTGGGACACGGAGCAGCAGAACTCTGTGCTCAGGGCAGACATTCAAGGCTCCAACACACTGAGGTAGTGCAGAGAAGTGCCCACCAGGATGGCAGGGCCAGCAGAGGGGCACAAGGCAGTGAGGGATGGGCACGGCTGCTGCTGGAGACCTTGTGGCTGCAAACAGCTCTGCAGTGCTCACTCAGGGAAATACAGGCTCAGAGAGGGATAAAAGTGGTTTGGAGGGACAAAGAGAGCAAAGAATGGGCATCTGGTGTGGGAAAGGGCAGCATGTTTAGGTAAGGGGGGTGTGCAGGGGTACAGGCAGGACAACAGGGAGACATTCCCCGTGTTCTGCATCATCCCATGCACAAGGACAAGGCTGGGCGTTCACATGGGACAACCTGGGAAGTTTTTTGGAGATGTGGGGAGATCTGCACACCTGTGAACATGGCGTCTGTGCAGGGAAAGGTCACAGGAAATGTAACTCAGGGCTGAACCACAGGTAAATGGACAAGCCCCATCCCTGGGAGCATTCCAGGCCAGGCTGGACAGGGCTGGGAGCAAGCTGGGATAGTGGAAGCTGTCCATGCCCATGCAGGGGCTGGAACTGGATGAGCTTTAACGTCCCTCCCAGCCAAACACTCCTTTGATTCTATGATTTCTGCTTTTCAACAAATGTTGTCTGGGTAAACATCAAGTCAACCAAGTGTGTGATGACACCAAGAGGCTCCAGGACCAGCTGTAAACATCTGCAGCAGTCCCTGGTGCAGAAGCCTGGGCAGGAAGGAGTAAAAGCCTTGCTGTGCCTCAGATTCCTGATGCCCACTGGGCAAGGAGGTTGAACCAGGATTAGAGCAGGATGTGTCCGGGAAGGGGCAGTGCCCTCCTGGGGCAGCCCCGTCCTGGGGCCAACTCCCCTGTGCTGGTCCCAAACAACACAAAGGACAGCTCCAGGGCAGCACTGGGGTCAGGCGGGACATCAGCTGCTGACTGGGAGCAGATCCAGCAGAGAGGGATCCACCAAGAGGCCCCAGAGCCCCTGGAGCCGTTTCCAGAAAGCCCAGGAGAGCAGACTGCATGTGCTCACACCAAGAGCAGGAAGCTGGGTGCCAGGGTGGGGGATCTTTCCTACAAAAAGTGTCCCAAACCTGGCAGGGCCCCAGGACCACCCTGCTTGGATCAGTGCTGGAGCCAGGACTGGTGATCTCCTTTCCTACCCAATCTCTCTCTCACACTCTCCTGCCTCCCTCTTTCACTTCACTCTTTTATTTCTCTCACTGTTACAACGTAGGGGCAAAGCATGCATTGATTTTCACACCAAGTGTGGAGCTGGCCAATAAAACCCGGTGAGCTTTGTTTTTGGGACCCTCCTGGCTTTTGCCATCCCTTTGTGACCATGGGCACCTGTGGCTCCTGGGTGCTCCCTTCTACACAAGAGTGGGATGTGACACCTGGCACGGCTGAGTCACGGAACAATAGAACAACAGATTTCAAAGGAAAAGCAGCTGAGATGAACACACAGTGATGCACTGGGGGGAACACATCAGATGGAAGATGACAGGCTGGTGGCTGACAATTATCTCTCAGGAACAAGCTGTCACTGCTCTGACAATGTTACAACACAGTTCAGTGATCAGCAGTTCCAAAAACAAACCAGATATTAGAAATTCCCTGGCAAGGAGCAGGAAACGTGGCCAGGACAGTGCAGGGCGTCTGAAACTGTCCCAGTCCTGAGCCTCGAGGGGCAAAACTCTGCTGCTGGAGGGAGCAGGGGTGGGGGAGATCTGCCCAGGGACATCTCCAGCGTGAGGGGCACAAGCACAAAGCTGTTTGCTACCTGCCAGGAAGGGACACCCTTGGGCTCTGCTCCAGGGAACAGGGACAGGAGCAGAGGGAACGGCCTCAGGCTGGGCCAGGGCAGGCTCAGCTGGGCCAGCAGCAGGAATTTGCCCATGGAAAGGGTGCTCAGGCCTTGGCAGGGGCTGCCCAGGGAGCTTGGCAGTGCCCATCCCTGCAGGTGTCCCCTGCAGGTGGCACTGAGTGCTCTGGGACAAGGTGGGGAGGTCTCTTCCAGCCTCAGGGATTCTGTGATCACCAGAGCAGGGTCTCCCAGAGCCTAAAGTGCTCCCACATGGAATTCAGAAGGATTGGCTCCTAGGCAAGTGATTCATCACAGAGACAGCAGTGATGTGAGTGAAGAAAAGAGCAAACCAGCCCCCAGAGCTGCTCCAGGAGGAAGACTCTGCCCCCGTGCTGAGGGCACAGCTTTCCACGGGCTCTGGTGAAGCCCTCAGCACCAGTGGATGTGCTCAGGTGTTCCGAGGAGCTGGACTGCTGCCCCTCAGCACCTGCACTTCAGGTTTGTGGTGGGAGTTGTTTTTCTCGTTCTGAAGCAGCAGCCTGTGTGTCATTTGCTGCCTTTTGCATTTATTCCACGACTTGTTCCATACCCAGAGCCCTGGGTCGGGCCCTCCTGGGCTCTTCTGCCCCGTGCAGAGGGCAGATCCCAGCAAGGGGAGGAGGAGGGACTGTGGTGCAGGGCCAGGCTGAGCTCACGCCTGCTCTGGAAAGGAAACGCTGCATTTCTCCCAGGCTGGAGGAGCCCGCTGTCCCCCAAACATTGTCCCCTGTGCTGACAAACCCTGGCACGAGCCACAGCTCCTTAAAGAGAGGGGGAAGTTCCTCCCCAGGGCCAGCAGCTGTGCCAGCAGCTTTGCTCTTAAAGCTGCCCCAGGAGGCTGCTGAGCTGCTTGTGAGTGGTGGACAGAGGGTAGAGGCTTTTTGGGCTGGTAAGGTTGACACTGATTTGGGGGCATAAATGTAATTATAATGGAAGTTAGCAACTTCCTAGTTCTCAGGTTTCTGTGTCTGTCCCCTCAGGCCTGTAGCTGCCTTTTCTGGGGTGTTTTGTGCTATTTTAATGCTGTAAATGCTCTGTCTTGCTTCTGTGGTTTGCAAAATTCTTCTTATAATGTGTCTGGTCCAGGCCCTTGTGCTGTGTCAGTAAGGAATGGGAAGGAATTTTCTTGGTTAAGGCTTGATGTTGGCTGATTGGTTTGGGGTTGGTTTTTGGGGTTTTTTTAGAAAATGACTATAAAATTTGCTGCAGCCCCTAGGCAGGCAGAGGAGGCCAAGGCACGATGTGTGAAATGTCTTTAATTGCTGAAATCAGACCAGGCTGGAGCACCCTGGGATGGTGGGAGGTGACCCTGCCCATGGCAGGGGCGGAATGAGATGGGCTTTAAGATTCCTTCCAGCCTTCTGTGATTCTTTGATGATTCAGCTCTCCACTGGAGACCTCAGGAGAGCATTTCCACGTCTCAGATGCAGATAAATAAAATGTTTTCCTGTCTTAGCATAGTCCTGAGGTCACCATGGGCCTCCTGCAGCTCCTGGCCCACACCAGGTGCTGTGTCTGGTGCAAACCCTGCCCCTCTGAGTGCTCAGGAGAGACATCCCTGGACTCCCCCTGCCTTGGAGCACGAGGTCTGGGGCTGGCAGCTTCTCCCTGAAGCAGTGGGGTGGCAGAAGGACCCCACAGGGAGCGAGTGTCCCAGAGCCCCCCTCCTCATCCCGAGCTCTCCGGGCTGTTTGTCCTGCTGATAGCGGTGCCTGGCCTTGCAGCCTGCCCGGGGGCTGCCCCGTGTCCTTGGTGCCTTCAGGATGTGTTGTGTTATTGCTCCTGGAGGAGCTGCCAGCTCCGGGGAGTGCCCGGCTCCTCAGCACCTCCCTCGCTGCTGCCCCGCCAAGCCGTCTGCTGGGCTGTCCCCTCTGCTGGCTCTCCCCTCTGCCCAGCTCTGTCCCCTCTGCTGGGCTGTCTCCTCTCCCCCAGCCCTGTCCTCTCTCCATCCCCTCTCTCCCAGCGCTGTCCCCTCTCTCCCAGGGCTGTCCCCTCTCTGTCCCCTCTCTGTCCCGTCTCTCCCAGCCCTGTCCCCTCTCTGTCCCCTCTCTCCCAGGGCTGTCCCCTCTCTGTCCCCTCTCTCCCAGCCGGTTCCCGGGATGGCAGTGGCGCTGGCGGTGGCGCTGGCGGTGGCTCTGGTGCCGCTGGCTGCCGAGGCGGGGAAGGACCCGCTGCTGAACGTCTGCATGGATGCCAAACACCACAAGAGCCAGCCGGGCCCCGAGGGCAAGCTCTACGAGCAGGTAGGGCTGGGCTGGGCTGGCACACCCAGCTGGCACACCCGGCTGGCACCCCAGCAGGGAGAGGATGGGGAGGAGGGGGAGGAAGGGGAGGAAGGAAGGGGAGGAAGGGCTGTCCTCTGCTCCCTCAGTGTGGGACCCCCTCCTCGCTCTGCCCCAGCCCCTCAGTGGAGGGGTTTTGTTTCTGTCCCTTGGGCTGGCACCATTCTGATCTCCTGCTCCCCAGCTCTGCCTTGCTGCAGAGCCCAGCTCCTGAGGCCACAGCGACCACGAGTTTTCTGGAGAAGACAGAGTGCTGTGGCAGCTGTGGGCTGTGCCCCGGAGCTGCTGCCTGTCCCCTCTGTGTTGCAGTGCTCCCCCTGGAAGGACAACGCCTGCTGCACAGCCAACACCAGCCTGGAGGCCCACAAGGACCAGTCCTACCTCTACAACTTCAACTGGAACCACTGCGGGGTGATGCCACCCAAGTGCAAGCGCCACTTCATCCAGGACACGTGCCTGTACGAGTGCTCACCCAACCTGGGGCCCTGGATCGAGCAGGTGGGCTCAGAGCAGGGAATCCTGGAGCTCTTTGGGTTGGAGGGACATTAAAACTCATCCTGCCAGCCCTGCCATGGCAGGGACACCTTCCCCTGTGCCAGGCTGCTCCAGCCCCAGTGTCCAGCCTGGCCTTGGGCACTGCCAGGGATCCAGGAGCAGCCCCAGCTGCTCTGAGAATTCCATCCCAGCCCTGCCCACCCTGCCAGGGAAGGATTTCTCTTCAATATCTAGGCAGTCTCAGCTTTTCCCACAGGGTAGAAAGATTCCAAGCACTTTTCTGGCCTCTGACTGATGGAAGAATAAGGAATTTTTCAAGACCCATCCGTGCTGGGGCTGAGGCTCCTCTGGGATCAGCATGGCCCCTGGGAGGGGCTGGGGGAGCTGGGACGGGGCAGATCCTGCCCTTGACCCCCGGGAGGGGCTGGGGGAGCTGGGATGGGGCAGATCCTGCCCTTGACCCCCGGGAGGGGCTGGGGGAGCTGGGACAGGGCAGATCCTGCCCTTGACCCCCGGGAGGGGCTGGGGGAGCTGGGACGGGGCAGATCCTGCCCTTGACCCCCAGGAGGGGCTGGGGGAGCTGGGACGGGGCAGATCCTGCCCTTGACCCCCGGGAGGGGCCCTGCCCAGCGTGGGTGGCACCGTGTGCTGCAGGCTGACAGCAGCTGGCGTCGGCAGAGGATCCTGCACGTGCCCCTGTGCAGGGAGGACTGCGAGCAGTGGTGGCAGGACTGCAAGGATGCCCTCACCTGCAAGGAGAACTGGCACCAGGGCTGGAACTGGGCCACAGGTTGGTGGAGCCTTTCTGGGAGCCTTTCCTCAGGCCCCGGGCAGGTCCCTGGCGGTGCCACCGCTGCCAGGAGCCCTGTCCCCTCTCAGGTGTGGCCGTGGGCAGGTCACCTGCTCCTCCCGAGGGAAGGGCCGTGCTCTCACGGGGTTTGTGTCCCCAGGCACCAACCGCTGTCCCTGGGGCTCGCCGTGCAGGCCCTTCTGGCAGGTGTTCCCCCGGGCCCGGGACCTGTGCCAGAAGATCTGGTCCGGCTCCTTCAGCTACAGCCCCGAGCGCCGCGGCAGCGGCCGCTGCATCCAGATGTGGTTCGACCCCGCCCAGGGCAACCCCAACGCGGCCGTGGCCGAGTACTATGCCGGGAGGAGGAGATCCTCCCCGGCCCACAGCCCCGCTCCCCAGAGCGGCCGGGCCGCGCGCGCCCTGCCCCGGGGCCTGCTGCTGCTGCTGGGCCTGGGCCTGCTGCTGCCCCACGGGGCTGCGGCCTGCGGGCTCCCTCTGACCCCTCTGGGGGCTGCGGGCTCCCTCTGACCCCTCTGGGGGCTGGGGACTCCCTCTGACCCCTCTGGGGGTTCCCGGCTGCGGCCTGCGGGCTCCCTCTGACCCCTCTGGGGGCTGGGGACTCCCTCTGACCCCTCTGGGGGTTCCCTCTGACCCCTCTGGGGCTCCCTCTGACCCCTCTGGGGGCTGGGGGCTCCCTCTGACCCCTCTGGGGGTTCCCTCTGACCCCTCTGGGGGCTGGGGACTCCCTCTGACCCCTCTGGGGGTCCCTCTGACCCCTCTGGGGGCTGGAGGGTCCCTCTGACCCCTCTGGGGGTTCCCCTGACCCCTCTGGGGGTCCCTCTGACCCCTCCGGCAGGGCCATGGCACGAGCAGCTCTGTCTGTCTGTCCTGGCGCTCAGCATGAGCCGTGCTGCTGGACCTTGGCTGCTGACCAGAGCAGGGATTTCCTGGGCTCTGCCCTGGGGAAGAGCAGGGAGGCTCTGCGCCGGTGTGGGAGCTGCTGCACATCTGTTCCCTCCTCTGGCCGTGTGCTGGCTTGGCTGAGCTCCGGTGCCACAGCTTTGGGCTGCTGTGACTCCCTGAGGGGTGGCGGGGATAATAAAGTCTGGCTCTGGATTAACCTCGGTGTCCTGATGTGGGATGTTCCTGGGGAGGGGCAGTGTCCTGGGGTGGGTGTGGGGTCTGGAAATGGAGGAGTTGGCCGGGGGGAGGAAAGGTCATAAAACTATAAATGGTTTGGGTTGGAAGAGATGTCAAATCTCATTTCTTTCCACTCACCTCCCACTGTGCCAGGCTGCTCCAGCCCCAGTGCCCAGCCTGGCCTTGGGCACTGCCAGGGATCCAGGGGCAGCCCCAGCTGCTCTGGGCACCCTGTGCCAGCCCTGCCCACCCTGCCAGGGAACAATTCCTCATTGCCAAGATCCCATCCATTGCTGCCCTCTGGCACTGGCAGCCATTCCCTGGGCCCTGTCCCTCCATCCCTTGTCGGACTTCAAATAATTTCAGGAGTTTTTAGATCAGAGCAGCTATTTCCAGAAGCTCTTCTGGCACATTTTTATTTTAAAATGTTCCTAACTGTGCAGCCTTTGCCACAGCTGATCAGTAATCCCTTGCCTTTACACGAAACAGAGGCACTTTCCCTCTCTCATTCAAATATGATGATTTAATCTAATTGCTCTAAATACACTCTCTTGCCTCCAAAATTTGAAGGTGGAGCCAACAGCTGACCAGGGCTTAGAAACGTTTTTAGCCCCTGGGGTGGAGGGATCTGCTGTGGGCAGCCCCTGGTGTCTGCCAGGGTGGGCTCTGCCCAGCAGGTGCCCAGCTCCCTGTCCCTCAGCAGGGCTCTGGGACCAGGTGGAGGTGCCCAAAGCAGGGGCTCAGGGGGGCTGCTCTGGGGCCGGTGGCCAGGAGGGGGGTCAGAGGGGCCATGGCAGCACAGAGGGGAGGGGGTCCTGGGCAGGGCCAGCAGGGGCTGGGCTGCAGCACCAGCGTGCAGAGCTGGGGAGGCTCTGCAGGCACTGAGGCAGGACCTGGGAGGAAGATGAACTGCTTGGTCTCAGCCCTGTCCCAAAGTCCCTTCTGCCCCTGGGATATCTGACTTTTGTCCCTTCCCAAACAGGAATATGCAGGAATGTGACATTCCCATGGTGTCCATGATGATTGTTTCAAGGAGAGGAGAAATGCCACTGGGCAGGACCTTCCCTGCTGCAGATCTCCCTCCTGTGGGGTGGTTTGTTTGCTTTTGTCTGGGTTTTGTAGCGGAAAGCACTGCACCTCAGCAAATACTGAGGCAGAGATATCTCCCTGCCCCCCTGGAGGTGTCCCAGGCCAGGCTGGACACTGGGGCTGGAGCAGCTTGGCACAGGGGAAGGTGTCCCTGCCATGGCAGGGTGGCTCTGGGTGGCTCTGGGGTCCCTCCAACCCCAACCACCCCAGAATTCTCACAGTGCACCAGGACAATGCCCAGGAGGTGACATTTCAGGGACCCATGGGGTTCATTAGAGATGGAATAAAAAAAACAATTTTTTTTTTCCCAAACCCCACCAATGTAATGAGTAGGAAGAAGGGCACTAGAAGGCACCTGGCACAAATTCCCACCTTTGTGGTGATCCCTGGCATGAGAAAAATCCAGAAGTGATGATTTACAGAAGAAATGGCACAAGCATGGCAAGCCAAGAGAAGGATGGGAAGGCAAGAAGCGATTTGCATTCAGCAAGGGGCAGATTAAAGTACAATGCTCTGCTATCCAAGTGCTGGGGAAGCGCGGGGAGTGATGGATGATGTGACCAGGCACGGCACTTACTCGGCTCTTTGTTATAAATCATTCCTCCTGAAGCAGTCTAACATCAGCAGCAAAGTAAGAAATCAGGCAGAACAGGAGAAACAATTAAAAGCTAATCAAGCAGATGGTTTAAAATTAGCAGGGCAGAGTAAGGGCAGGGTGACAGTTCCCCTGGAGCACTTACAGGGGGCAGGGGCAGAGATCTTGGAGCATGAACAGAAGATAAATGGGAATGAAAACCAGCGTGGAGTGAGGCAACAGGAGACGTGGAAAGGGCAGAGAACCACTGGGATTAACATTCAGTCCCTGAAAAATGTGCACCAGAGAAGCCCAGTCCCTACAGAGCACACGGCAGCAGCGACTGCGGGTTCTCAGGAACAAACTGTGACAAGGTGCTGCAACTCCTCCTGCATGGGGCAGCACGTCGGGCTGGCAGGGCACTGCCAGGGCGTGGGGCTGGGACACAGCTGGGCACAGCTGGGACACAGCTGGGCACGGCTGGGACATGGCTGGGACACACTTGGACACACCTGGGACACAACTAAGCATGTCTGGGACATGGCTGGGCACGGCTGGGACCACCTGGACATGCCTGGGGCACACCTGGGACACACCTGGGCACCTCTGGGCACCCCTGGGCACAGCTGGGATCTGGCTGCAGTCACACCTGGGCACCCCTGGGCACGGCTGGGACGCGGCTCACACAGCACCTCCAGAAACAGGAGAGCAGAGAGGGACCTGAACGAAACTCCCACAGAAGGGAGGACAAACCCCGCGTGAAGAACGGAGTTACCGATCGCTCACTGCCCAGGACGAGGGGCTGCTCTGCCTTCTGCAGCTGCTCACTGCTCTCACCAGCAGCTCCTCAGCAAACCCCGTTCTGGGCTGTGAATGCTGCTGCTGGCACATGCTGGGGACGCAGACCTGATGTCCCCTGAGGGATCTGCCCTTAACCCAGGTGTCCCGTGGGGATGCAGCAGGCTCAGCGTTTACTAGAACCACTGGGATTAACATTCAGTCCCTGAAAAAATGTGCATCAGAGAAGCCCAGTCCCTACAGAGCACACGGCAGCAGCGACTGCGGGTTCTCAGGAACAAACTGTGACAAGGTGCTGCAACTCCTCCTGCATGGGGCAGCACGTCGGGCTGGCAGGGCACTGCCAGGGCGTGGGGCTGGGACACGGCTGGGCACGGCTGGGACATGGCTGGGCACAGCTGGGACATGGCTGGGACACACTTGGACACACCTGGGACACAACTAAGCATGTCTGGGACATGGCTGGGCACGGCTGGGACCACCTGGACATGCCTGGGGCACACCTGGGACACACCTGGGCACCTCTGGGCACCCCTGGGCACCCCTGGGCATACCTGGGATCTGGCTGCAGTCACACCTGGGCACCTCTGGGCACCCCTGGGCACAGCTGGGATCTGGCTGCAGTCACACCTGGGCACCCCTAGCACACCTGGGCACCCCTGGGCACGGCTGGGACGCGGCTCACACAGCACCTCCAGAAACAGGAGAGCAGAGAGGGACCCGAACGGAACTCCCACAGAAGGGAGGGCAAACCCCGCGTGAAGAACGGAGTTACCGATCGCTCACTGCCCAGGACGAGGGGCTGCTCTGCCTTCTGCAGCTGCTCACTGCTCTCACCAGCAGCTCCTCAGCAAACCCTGTTCTGGGCTGTGAATGCTGCTGCTGCCACATGCTGGGGACGCAGACCTGATGTCCCCTGAGGGATCTGCCCTTAACCCAGGTGTCCCGTGGGGATGCAGCAGGCTCAGTGTCTACTGCACTGCTCACAGGGCTGGTGTAAGTCCGGCCTCCCTCCCTCGGCAGCACCAAACCTTCCAGGAGGGAGCACAAAGACCCAATAGCAGCACAGTAATTAAAATTCCGCAGGATGTGAAGCACAAGGGCTGATGCAGGAACGTGCCCCCTGCTGACCGAGTGACCAAATTATCCTTTGTCTCCTTGAAAAGGCAAAAGGCCCAGAAGTTTCTCTCCTCAATTTGGTAAAAAGGCACCTCATAGGACCTGGGGGACTTCACCTCAGACCTGGGGCTGCCCACTGGACAGAGGCCAAGAGGTCCCAACTATGTAATTCACTAGAAAAAGAAGAGAACAAAGACAATAATCACTTTTGTGGGGTGTTTTAGCAGGAGCAAAAACCTCTCACCCCTGGCTCAGTTTTTCTCTGTAAGAGCTTTGTTGTTTTGCTTACTGAAACTTCTTCTGTTTCCAAGAAGCCATCCTGCTGGTTTTGTGCCATTGGGTAGCTGGGCTATCTCGGGTGTGTTGGGCTCTCTGAGAGCTCCTCAGCCTGGCTCGGGGAGAAGCCCATCAGGCACAGGGGTTTGTGGAGTGCCCCCCAGGTTTCCTGAACGCCCCTCTGCCTTGGTTTGGGTGAGCTGCTGTCCTTGGGCAGATGGACTGCTCCACCTCTCAAGGCTCCCTGTGTTCCCACTTTGCACACTGCCACCAGAAATCTCATGTGAGGTGCTTGTTTCCCACCCCTGCCCTGCACATCTCACTCACTGTGTGCATTTTGAGGTTCCTGGTGCACACCCAGGGCAGCTTCTCCTCCTGCTCATGGGCTGATCCTCACCACCAGCGACAGGGGGGCTGGAATCACAGAATCCCAGCAGACTGGGTTGGGAGACCTTGAAGATCATCTTGTTGCACCCCTGGCCATGGGCAGGGATCCCTTCCTCCAGAAGTGGTGTTATTTCAGTGAGAGCAAAGAGCT